TATCGGTTCGGGTTTATATCGGTTCGGGTTTGTATCGGTTCGGGTTTATATCGGTTCGGGTTTATATCGGTTCGGGTTTGTATCGGTTCGGGTTTATATCGGTTCAGGTTTGTATCAATTTGGGTTGTATTGATTTGGGTTTATATAGATTTGAGTTTATATCGGTTTAAATTTATATTAGTTCAAGTATAATGTAAACACATACTAATAAATGAATAATATCACATAATAAATTTAGTTAACTATAATTTTTATATACTTTCTATAAAGAATACAAAAATATTTTAACTTAAGTTATAAAATACAAAGTAAAAGATTTGTACATGAAAGTAGTTACATGGTTTGCACCCATAATTTAAATATGTTTTTTGGAAACACATCAACATATGTAAAAATATATAGGTAATTCGCTTTCTCCAAATTCATTTGATAAATGAAATATTAATGAATTTGATCAATTTCGGGTCTAATCGGCTTCGGGTCTAATCGGTTCCGGGTTTAACCGGGTTCGGGTTTAACTGGGTTCGGGTTTAATCGATTCGGGTTTAATCGGATTCGGGTCTGAATCGGGTATGAATACATTCGGTTCGGGTTTGGTTTGGTTCGGATCATTTTGGGTGTTCGGTTCTATTTTGGTTCTTCAGTTTTCGGGTCAATTCGGGTTCGGTTTCGGGTTATTCGGTTCGGGTTATCGGGTCCGGGTCAGTTTTGCCAGGTCTAGGCTTAAGTAGTGGGCCCAAATTACTAATCTACGTCTTTAATACAAATACCCGCTAACATTAACAAGTATGTACTCTAATAATAATGCAATTTTTAGAGAATGGAGGACTCATAAGTGCTTATTTTGCCGCTAGAGATTTTTGTTTTTTATTCTTCATTTAAATCAATGTATGTAAATGTATTGATGCTTTTGATTCTTGAAGTATAAATACATTGTTCTCGAGCGTTCAATCAAATACGGAGTACTTTTTTTTTTTGTGGAATTGGTGCTTTAATATAGATGATCTTCTATAACTGGGAAATGAAGATGATCGTTTTAGGGTTTGTTTGGTTTGAGAAAAATAGGAATAAGATACCTCTCTCAATCTCATCCTCCAACCAAATAAACCTTTATTGATGCCTATGGCTCTAACCAAACAGACCCTTAGATTCTGGTCATAGTAAGATCCAAAATGGAATGCAATTTATTTTGTTGCTTTTCTGTGAATGGAAATGGCGTGCAGTCACTAGTCACATGTGGTTTTTTAAAAAAAAGCGAACAAGAAAAAGCTGTCAGTTCCAATCTAGTTTGAAGTGTTTGGACTTTGGTCTTGTTTTGGCAAAAGCTTTTTCGATGAGATTAGCCATTTTCGATAAAATTTTAATGGTGTAGATTAATTCTGAAAACGCTAACATTAAACGCTACCGTCGGATAACCTTTTCAAAAGGCTAATGCTTACTGATGTCAAACGGAATCTTTTTCTTCTTCTAAACCTTGCCTGGTTTTCCTAACATTCTCGACTTCTTGACTTTTTGTTGACCCAAAACATACACCCTAGATGAATGGCTTTTCACCATTGAAAATTTTCAAATTTGGTAGGAAGAAATAAATTTTGATATAATTTCAGCATGACCAATTTTACAACATAACAATAGTAGGTTTAGGAAGAAATAATTTTTGTTATAATTCCAGCATGATTGAAAAAGAACAGAGTCGAGGCAATTCAGAATATTACTCCCTCCGTCTCAAATTATAATGCTTGTTCACTATTCACAGGGTCAAACTTCATTCACTTTCTTTCTCTATTTTCGTTAGCAAATCAATAAAATAAAATATTATTGTCACTACTAGTTTTGTAGATCTTTTGATGTAGTATTTTGATATGTAATTTTTATTTTTTAACTCTATGTCATTTGTCATATAAAATGATTTGAAAATAACTTCAATCAAACATCGTAAACCGAAACAGGCGTTATAAAATGGGACGGAGGAAGTACCTTGCTTATTTTCAAAGAGATATGAAGATCAAATTACTTTACCTTTTCTTTCTTTGAATGAAAGTGAAGGGTAATTTATTATCATTCACCATCACCTTAAGCTGAACTACTCCATGTTAGAAAACGTGTCGGTAAAATTTATCGAGTCATGATAGAATCAACCGAATCCATCCCATCATCGACAGGTCAAAAAAACGTTCATCGTCGATTTCTTGGTGATGTGAGATAAAAAAATAAAATAATGGAAATTTAGTTGGATCAATATTTTCCTTCCCATCATAATTCCATGAACCAAAAGTAGCATTAGTGTACAACATAACAACTTCACAAGAACTCGGTAAAAAGTTAGCCGAAGCCCGTGGTATACGTTAACTTGCGACGCCAAAGCCGAATGTACAATTGCAGCAGTTAAAAAAACACTCACTGAAGAAGTAATATCTCCTCTGTCTCCATTTGCCTCAGTCGCCGTTTCGCGTAAATGGTTATCACTACTGTGGTGGCCATTGTGAGGCAAAACCCCAAAACAGTACAAATGATTTGTGCAGCTGATAGGGAGTTCCTATCCTTTGAAGCATCTGCTAGTGTCTTTATCACAATGCCACTGGCAATTTACAAGAAGAAGAAAAAACAGAACTTTTTATTAGTTTGAAGTGCTGATCTCTAAACTCTAAGCAAACAAGCTTTTAAGGTAAACAAAGCTTGAAAAGAAGCTGCTCGAAAAAGCTTGGAAAATAAGTTGCTTACGTGTAAATTGCAACGAATATCTCGGGCACCAACCCAATCAAAGAACCAATCAAATAAGGAACGTAAGCGACTCCGGTAGCCATTGCGCAGTAATTATACACAATGTAAGGAAATGGAGAGATTCTAATCAGCGTCACGGCCCTCAGCTGGTTAAACCAATCCCCTTCGCCTGCTAACCTAATGATAGAAGCGCTCTTCGTATACCTCTCTACCCAACCCTGATGATAAAGAAGGAAAAAACATTCGATCAATGTGAAATTTGCACTAAATAGGACTAAAACATAAGTCATTTCCCAATTTAGGACTTAAAACTTTTTTATTCCCTAAATAGGACTTAATAATGTCTTGTGAGAGGAATAATGTCCAGTAATGATAGACATTTAGTTGAATAATGACTAATTGATAATGACCAAAGGTCCTACATTGAGAAATAAAAACATATGGTCCTATATTGAGAAAGTCATTATGTTTTGATTCTATTTAGGTAAATTCCTCTTCGATCAATCCTATTTTCAAGAACACGACCTGATATTAACTGTTACGAAAACTTAAAAAAGAAATGGTTGTTTTAGCTTGCCTGGATTTTGTCTTGCAACACAAAGCCTATGAAGAATGGAAGTGACACGCCGGCGGATGCACCCGCAATGATGAGTAGAAACCCGTAACCGTACCCAAATGTCATGCCCGCCACCCACATTGAGGGAGTAGAAGGCAAAAGAATTGTCGGGAAGAGGGCCACGGACGCAAATACTATGAGTGCAAGGACTGGTGTGCTGAAAGTTCTTGTCTCCCAATTTAGTATAGGTATGATTTCCTAGGAAAGCCAAAGAGCTTAGTTAAGGTCAAAAGTTCTACAAAACAATGAAAATACACAAATAAACAAAAGTTCTTTAACATGATCTGATTGATAATTTGAACTTAAATCTAGTTGAAGTTATGAAATGGGTTTCTTCTTAAATGTTAAGCTTAAAGAAAGCTAAGCTAAGCTAAGATATTTTCCAAGTGATTTCTCATAGATTATTCTAAAGATTAAAATCTAAGCAGGCTAGTATGAGATCTGACCTTGTCCATGAAGAATGGGGCGACCCATTTGAGAAAAACAGCAGCCAAAAGCCCGAGCGAGAAGCCCAAAAGTATCAGCTTGGCCCACCACCAGACCGACCTCCACCACCACCGCCGGACGCCGCCGCGGTCCCAGCACAGAGCCGCCGCATCTGGAGACGTCGACGACTTACCCTCGCCGCTCTCCTCCTCCTCCGGTTCACAAGATCTCAATCTCGCGTAACCGCTATCATCCTCCCCATCGCCCCGATTCAACAACAGATCTCCAGAAACAAACGTCATCTTCTCCAAATCAAACCCGACTTGAAATCTCGATCGGAAGTTAACATCTAGACATGTGGATCGGATGGATAACAATTCCCAGAATCATGATCATTGTTGCAAAGAAATTACTAAAAAGAATAATTCCCTGTGGAAATAAACATAAATTCCTTTTTTTTTTAAAGAATAATGGCGGAGACAAAGGGTAAAGTCAGCAAGAAAAAAGAAAAGATATTTGCCTTAATGGCCGTCCAGTGTCCCCCTATCACCAGTCCACCACTGTATTCATTTCACATTAGGCAAGAAGAAGCCACCATCACCACATTCTTGTTACCGGAACAATTTGATGGGGCGTTCCATATTTGGTAAAGCAGGCAAGTAAAATGGGTGACACCCTAGTTCAATTACTACTCATAAACAATTACCTTTTCACTATTTAAAGATAACTGGACTTTTTGTTTATTTGTACGCTTTGATTGATTATTTTATAAAACAAAAAAAAATAGATTTTGCTTCTGTTTGCATAAAATACAATACATTTTGGAACAGATGTAGACATGTAGTATTAATTTAATCCCTCCCAACATACTGCCAAGACCAATATTGGTCGGAGACATTGAAAGTTTGAGTTTGATCTTTTTTTGTTACACAACAATTGCTCGAGGTAGTAGTTTAACTAGTCAAGAGAGAATGAAAAGGATTATTGTAACATAGTTCAACTTCCCACAACAACTATATGAGACATTTACGATCTAAGATGATATTAGGTATACTGAATTTTAACAATAACAATGATAGACGATCATACATACTCCCTTCGTCCCTAAATAGATTACAATCTTTTTTTCTCTTTCCTCTCGATAATTTTTGTTTGTTTACGCGATTTCATCAAGTATTTGATAAAATAAAATATTCTTGTCACCTCTTGTTTTGTAGAACTTTTGACGTAGTTTTTTAATATGTAATTTTTAAAGCTTATTGATATACCAATTTGTAAATAAAATAATTTTAAAAAGTAGAAAATTTTGTTCCGTAACCCGCAATTTGTAATCAAATTGGGGACGGAGGGAGTATAACATACTACACCATAGAGTCATAGACTTATAGAGTTATAGTACACCTTTTTCGTTCTTCGTAGAGTCACAATACACAATTTTTTTTTGTTTTTATTAAATTTCTTTGTTTAAATTGATAGTAGATTGTAAAAAATTGAAAATTGAAGTAGACCTCAAGGTAAAACGTATTTAAACTTTAAACTTTTTCACTTTGAAATAGCAATTCGTTCATTCGTACAATTTAGTTGACGGAAAAATCATACTCCATCCGTCCTATAATGATCTTCCCGGTTCGCAAAACGAAGAAAAATCTCAAATTTTTTCAATTTATTTTATTTAAATATTGGTATAGAAATAAAAAATAAAACATACATATTTAAAAATTACACCAAAAGTTTAACAAAACAAGTGATGACAAGAATATTTTATTTTATCATATAGGCCATGAAAAAATACAAATAAATATAAATTCCCGTGAAGTTGGAATAGTGCTCTGGGAAGATCATTATAGGACGGAGGGAGTAACTCAAGAGTTTATACTTGAGAAGTCATATTAGAATATAATTTTGGAAAAATTACTCAAAATAATCCCAACTTTACCCGGTCTTTCAAAAATAATCCCACCTTTCACTGTGATGCATAATAATCCCAACTTTACTGAAATTTGCCAGTTTTGGGTCACTGTTAAGTTTCTAACGGATGCTTAACGGAAATGCCCGTTTTAGGCAACAAAATGAAAGTTGGGATTATTTTTGATGAATTTTCATTTTTTTTATTTTTTTTTAAATGTTTAATTTAAATTTTTTAAATTACTTTCTACCTTCATCATCATTTCTTTTTCCTTTTTTAAAGTTTAGTCTTAGTTTAAAAAATAAAAATAATAGATATAAAAAATGAAAAAATGAGAAATGTAACTAAAATGATACAAAAATAATAAAATAAATAAGGTAATCAATGGAAACTAACTTGAAATTGGTAAAAGTAAAATAAAAATATACGGGTGGGTTTTAATATTTTACGCATTATACAAAGTATTAACATATCATTTCTTATTTTTTTAGAAAACTTATCTACAATAATTCCAACTTTACCGGACGGCTTGTTCTTTTAAAAAATAAGTTGTATATTAAGACTCCGTATAGTGTGTAAAATGTTAAAACCCACTACTCCGTATATATTTATTTTATTTCTTACTAGTTTCTGTTTAATTTATATTGATTACTTTATTTATTTGATTAATTTTGTATGAATTTAGTTATTTTTCTCATTTTCATTATTTTTTATATCTATTTTTTTCTAAGGTAAGAAAAATCTTTAAAAAAGAAAAAGAAATGGAGGTTGAAAGTAATTCAAAAATTTAAATAAAAATTTCAAAAAAAATAAAAAACAAAAATTTATCAAAAATAATCTCAACTTTCATTTTGTTGCCTAAAACGGGCATTTCGGTTAACCTTCCGTTAGAAACTTAACGGCGACCCAAAATTGGCAAAATTTCAATAAATTTGGAATTATTATGCATCATAGTGAAAGGTGAGATTATTTTTGAAAGACCAGATAAAGTTAGGATTATTTTAGGTAATTTTTCCTATAATTTTTTTTGAAGAATCAAATTTTAAACATCTTCCGTCCACCTATAATTATAAACTCTTTTTAAACATCACCAATGGTCCCAATGAAGATGCTTTTATGGATGAATGAGGAATGAAACATGACTTTATGAAATTTCCCTCCTAGATTTTAATGTCTCTCTTTCTCTTTCTTAAAATTCTTTTTTCCAAATACCGTCTTAATATACTTATAATAAATTTGTAACACAATTTCATGTATTATTCTCATGTAGAATTACTATTTTGAAAGGGGGAAACCATGTTTAAACATTCTCTATATTAGTATTGGCTAATTAAGGAAATGAAATAAAATAAACTTTTTGACAATAAAAATCATTCTAAATAAGATTAAAACATAGAATAAAGTACTATGATTGAAGTTTCATGTTTTTATTCTCAAAATAAAAGTTTGCACTGTGGTCATGTGGTGGTAATGTGACATTGTACATATCCACATTACCATTCTATTTGGTAATGTACATAACTATGTTTGATAAAGTAAATGTATTTCAACTTTTATTTTGAGAATAAAAAATGAAAGTCATATTTTAATATATTTTCAGTGATTTACGCATACTTTAGTCTTTTTCACTTTTGATAAAACGAAATGAAAGAAATAATATAAATTAGTAAATAACGAGTAAAATAACATGTGGTTAACATGTTGAAGTCTTATAGAGTATACTCTTTTCATCCAATAAACTTTTTTAATACCCAGTATTTCTTTTTCATGATTTGCAATATTAATTTTTCACTATTTCCCTAATTTTATTTTAAAATATATAGGTAATATAAAATATTTTTCTTTATCCCAAACAAATCACTTTTTTCAATATTTTTAAAAATATTCGTAAAACCAAAATAGAAGATACTCGGTATGCACCTAAAGATTACTCATAATAATAATAATAATAATAATAATAATAATAATAATAATAATAATAATAATAACAATAATAACAACAACAATAATAATAACAACATTAGGCAAATTAACATTAAGCAAACATTTCTCTCACCTAATTTAAAATGAATTGGGCAAACATTTCTCTCCGCTATATAACTTCAAGTCTTCAACCAACACAATACCTGAAAAACCTTGCCGCATCAGTATTCAGTAAACAAAAATAAATAAATTTTTCGATTCTCCCAAAGATGATTCGCAGTGGCAATCTCCTTCTTCAACCCCACTGTCATCATCAGAGCTTCAAGAATCCCCAGCTTTCTTTCCTCAACTCTCCCAAGCACAATCTTCAATTCCATTCACTCTTTCCTCATTTTCCCAGAAAATCTTTCATTTTTCCAGGTCTCTCTCCATGGCTGGAGCTTAAAGTTTGAATCTTTTTCCCCTTTTCTTCCCCTGCAACAAATAATTTCAGCAGTGATTCTTTCTTGGTGTAAAGATTAGTTTTTTTTGCTTAAGTTTTGATTTATCATCTGATCTGTGGATGATTTCAGGTGGGAATTCAAGATTATTTGTTAGCAGATGTGTATCAGAGAATCCATCTGATTCTATTAGCCCAGAGACATTTCCTTGCTATTCTCCAGACTCATCTCAGGTCTGCTTTCTCTGCTTCTGTTCATACTTCTTTCTAGTCATAATTCTTTTTATTTTTTCTAAACAATTTTCAACTACTCTTTTTTTTTCTTTTCAAAAATTTTATTTTTTGAATAATACTTTCTCCATCTTGTAAAAAAGTTCCTACCTTTTTTTTACCATGTTGAAAAAAATTCCATTTTCCACTTTAAAATAATTGTGGCTCATATCATTTCTTTGTCCTCTCAATGAGGGAGCTTGTAACTGAGGATTGGTAGGGGAGTTGAAGGGGTTAGGTAATAGATACTCCGTATTAGGTTAGGTAATGAGTATTGACGGTGAATTTACTAGTATACCCTTGCATAGTATAGTACTACTCCCCATAGTTTTCACTTTTCAGAGCCGGTAGTTTTTAGAACCGGACGGGTGACCGAACCGGTCAAGGTACTGGTTCACTAGTCGAACCAGTGGTTCAACTGGTCGAACAAGTGGTTTAAGCATATATTAAAAATTATATAAATAAAAATGTAAATATACACACACACACACACATACATACATACATACATATAGAGACACACTTTCTCATTTATAAATATCTAAAGAAAGTAATTTATAACATTTGACTAAAATTATATTAATATACTTGAGTTATTTTACTAAGTTAAAAAATAAAATTTACATATTTAAAAAAACAATATTAAAAATTTTATAAATGAAGAGTTGATTTTATTTTTTTCAAATAAGTTGTTTCATATTAAGAGACACTCAAATGAAATCTTTGCATGATATACATTTCGTAATAGTATCAATTATATCGATGATTTTGTGTTTGACTCATAGCTATATAATATTATATTTTTTAATATGAAAAGGAATCTTTATGCAATCCTTTTTTTAATTATGAAATATTATAAAAGATTAAGTGAACTTGTAATAAAAAAACCCTAGCTTGGATGGTTAGGAACTTAACCAAATGTGAGATCTTGGGTTCAAACCCCATGGTGGTATGATTTAGAGAAAAATTTGCAAAAAAAAAAAAAACTGGTTCGACCGCCGGTTCTTATCGGTTCACCCCAGTTCAGACTGGTTTGAAGCTGATTGCGGTTCAAAAGGGCTGGACCGGACCGTTTGGATCACCGGTTTGCCGATTCACGATCCGAACTGGCCAGGCCGTGCCGGTTTTTAAAACTATGCTACTCCCTAAAACCTAAACACTACGGAGATTTGCTTTCATTAACTAATCCAAGGCTCCCTTTGGCAATAAGATTAGACTAATGACGTTTTGAAAAGACTATGTAACGTTAGCGTTTAGCTTTAACGTTTTCAAAATTAATCTACACAATTGAAATTCTACCCAAACCGCTAACGCTAGTTGAGAACGCTGTTGCCAAACAATGCCCTAATCTCATAACAAATTGATGAAAAATTCATTTCAGGTTTTTCTTTTTCCATTTCTGTTTTTCATTTGGTGTGACCTTTCAGATATTCAGGACAAAGGAGAGGTCTTTAGTGACAGTGTTGAAGGGTGCAAACTCCATTTTGCCACATGTGGTTCTTGGTAGTACCATTTTGGCCCTTGTATATCCACCTTCTTTCACATGGTTTACCAGCAGGTTTGTCATTATACATTATGAAATTTGATTGCCCACAAAATCTCACATATGAAACAAAACACAGTTTCTTGATTTCTTTTGGACATTTGGCTCTTCCGTTTTCAGGTACTACTCCCCGGCGTTGGGGTTCTTGATGTTTGCAGTCGGAGTCAATTCAAACGAAAATGATTTCTTACAAGCAATCAACAGACCTGCTGCCATTTTGGCAGGGTATTTCGGTCAATTCGCGGTGAAGCCCCTCCTCGGGTATCTATTCGGCACAATTGCAATAACAGCCTTTGGTCTCCCAACTTCCTTAGGTAATTGCTACTAACAAAAAATGTCAAAACTTCAAACTTTTTGTTGCGATTATCTGTCATTTGCCCTAACGCCACATTAGTATGATTTTTTCTGTGCGTGCATAAATGCATCAGCCGCAGGACTGATGTTGACTTCATGTGTGAGTGGCGCGCAGCTCTCCAATTACGCCACGTTTCTAACGGACCCATCAATGGCCCCACTCAGCATTGTGATGACTTCGTTGTCCACTGCATCCGCGGTTCTTGTCACGCCCTTATTGTCATTATTGCTCATTGGCAAAAGATTGCCAGTTGATGTCAAGGGAATGATTTCCAACATCACCCAGATTGTGGTTTTTCCTATTGCAGCTGGGCTGCTTCTTAAAAGGTAAACTATTCATCAACACCCTGTCGAATGGCTGCGGTCCACTGGTCACTATATTGAGAAAGTCATTATGTTTTAGTCTTATTTAGATAAATTACTCATTCATATTTAGCTGAGGTGCGATGGTGATGGATTCTACAGATTATTTCCCGCGATTTGTAATGCCATTATGCCGTTTTTGCCCCCAATGTCGGTTTTGGTGACGTCCCTATGCGTTGGAGCTCCGCTTGCCATCAACATACGGTCCGTGGTTTCCCCTTCCGGGCTATCTGTTCTGTTGCTCGTGGTCGCGTTTCATGTTTCGGCTTTTGTTTCCGGTTATGCCCTTGCGGGCGTTGCCTTTGGGGATGCACCCGACGCGAAAGCCCTCCAGAGAACACTTTCGTATGAAACAGGTAATGTTCATTATATTCTTGGGAAGTGTTGGGTGATGATTGATATTTCTTGCATTTGCTTCTTGTATTATAGGAATGCAGAGTAGTCTTCTTGCTCTTGCCCTTGCAAATAAGTTTTTTCAAGATCCTCTTGTTGGCGTCCCTCCGGCTATATCGGTACGTATACGGAGTATAATACATCTGAATGTACCTAAAGATTGAGGAAAACGAATAAATTAAAGGAAATATGAGGACGATAAGACGCAAGGAAATAGATGTATCTAGAGAAACAACAGGAATTGAGACGAATAATGTCATATATACGTATATCCAGATCTATGATATAATTTACACCGACAAATGTATAAAAAAACTTGGAGTGGGGTTTGAGGATATTGATTACGACGGTTAATGGGTCCGGTTTGGGTAAAAAACACTTAAAAGACATTGATCTTGACCCGTACCTAAGACTCGTCGAGTTGTTTGTGTTACTAGACTTGGACTGGTTCGGATCTTAGTCGGGTCGGGTGAGGCTGGGATTTTTTTTCATCTTTAGATATGAACTAATTTTTCGATTACATTTGCACCTAACATGAATAGATAAACTTCTTTATCTTTTCAAAGTTTTTATTTATTCAATATTTTGGTTTAGAAAGAATTGAAAAAATTTTTATGAATCATTTATAATTATTCTAATACAACCACTTTTAAAAGACAAATATTACGCATAAGTATTACTCTAGTTACCAAATAGTTTTCACATTAAGTTAGGGAATATTTTAGTGTAATTATAAATTTCAACTTTCAATTTAAACACTCTAAACTTTTAAGTGTAATTATATAATTTAGTTCAATAATCTCACTAAATATTTTTAAAGTATTTATTTCTGTAGTTTGGCTATGTTGAACCCTCACCATTTCCAGGTTGTAATAATGTCATTAATGGGCTTCACACTTGTGATGGTTTGGGCTAAGAACAAAAGAGCTCATGTTTGATAAGAATCTTGGCCCAATTATATACTAAGTGGACTTCTCTTCTTCTGGACTGCTTTATCTATAGCCCATGACTCGCTGGGTTGGTTCTACTACTATCAGCAGATCTAATTGGACCGGGTGGGTGAATTTAAAGCCCAATGTAATTCCTAAAACCCACTGTAACTTACACATGTCAATTTTTTGAATTATTTTTTCGATTTTTTAGTTATTTTTTTATTTGAAAAAATAAAAAATTACTTATCTCACTAATATAAAAATGTTTATTTTGCATATTTTGGTTTATGCCAGAATTTGGCATAGAAGAAATAATAGAAAAGTTTGTGACTACAAAATGATTTGAGTAAATTTTAGTTCTCCTTGAGTGTGAATGAATTATGAATAAATGAAGTGTAACATTGGCAATATCACTATATAAAAATGTTCATATTAATTAATTTTCTATGAAAATAGTTCAATTAGTCATAGACAATTAAAATTAAAACCAATAAAACAAAGAACTTCGGGTATACCCTCAAAAAAAAAAAGAACTTCGGGTATTATATTTCTTATATTTGTTATTTTCAATTAATATTAAAAAAATATATTGTTTCCTTTGTCCTACTATTTTTCGAAGATGAGTTAGTCATATGCAAATTAAGAAACATAAAATAATATGATTGGTGTTAAAAGAGAAAGAAAAAGTAAAATTGAGTGTGAGCCATATAAAGATATTCCCAAAATTAAATAAGGAGTATCATTTATTCAAAAAAATGAGTACGATTTGAAAACATGACAATTTCTTCCACGTACTTATTTTATGAACCGTAGTGAATTTGTAGCATATAAAAGAAGGGCTCCTTTTGTAAAAAAGAAAAAATGTCCATATGTAAACCTATGAAAAATGCGGGAACTTTAGGATCATGCAAGTATCACTCTGAAAATAAAAATAATAGGATATATAAAAATAAAAAGAGGAAAAAATAAAACAAATTGAGTTTGAATTAATCTAATAAAAATGTACTCCAATTAATTTATTTTAACTTTTCTTTGCTCTTTATAGTTTTTTCTAATATCTTTCATACTATTTTAACTTATCTCAACTCTATTTATTTTTAATTCCTTATCTATTTTACTCATTTCTTAAATAGCAAATTTTCCTATATAGCACTGCAAGTTTTAATTTCCATTAGTATCTAATTAATTAATGAATAATTAATTATTAACTCTAATGTACTAAAATGCTTTTTATATGATTTTATATTAACTGACTCATCACGTCTAGGGGTGGGCACGGGCCGGTCCGAGCTAAGTATTGTATAAATCGGATTGGCTTGTTTTTATTAAAACGGTCCGGGGCGGAACGGGTTTTCAAAATTTAAAAATTGAAACCGGACCTAACCCGGCTTGTTTGAAACGGGCCGATTCTACGGGTCAACGGGTCCGAACCTATCATGATACCAATATTCTCCAAAACAAATAGAAATTATAGAATAATGCAGTCAAAGGGTAATTGGATGGTGGATTATGAGGAATTGAGGTGTGAATAATTGCAGGCCACACGTCCACATACAAAACTGACGTAGAGGGATAAATGAAAATAAAACAATTGCATAAATGAAACATATCCACATAAATAAAACACGTCCACATAATTTCAGGCCACACGTCCTGGAAGGAACGAAAGATTGAAGGGCTTAGGCAGGTATATCCGTATATTTACTAAAAATAATATTAAAAATAATATTGGGATTTTAAAAAATGGTCCGGTCCAAGTCCAATACAATTTCAAAATGGGGAACCGGACCGACCCTAAAATCTATAAGGACCGGGCCGACTCAGACCGTTTTGAATTTTTGAAAAGACGACCTGGACTTAACTCGGACCGAACCTGGCGGTCCGGTTCCGACTTGCGATTCCTGGACCCGATTGCCCACCCCTAATCACGTCCTATCATCTTTTGCCGGCCACTGATCACAAAATACTGACGTTAGTCTCCTGACGCCACTCTATTAATGTCCATTATACATGATTTAATGACTTCTATGGTTCCCCCTAATAACGCCCGATATCAATGTTAATATCTACATGAACATTGCAAAGATATTGTCAATTAAAAAAATATTGTCGCAATTATAATTATCCACATCATTAATCATCAATGTCTCTGATCAATAAACAATGTCTATAATTTTTACAGTGTTCCATGTCTCTAATTTTTACAATGGGCCGAATCAGTATATTTTTTACAATATTTATCAAAAGAAAAATATACGAAGGAGAGAGAAATTCAATCAAAGGAAGAAAAAAATATAGTCTATTTTTTATATGGAGTATAACATAATTAAGATATTAGGGTGTCTTAGTAAATTGATATTATTAATAATTAATTAATTAATATAAAGTTATTTGGAGCAAATTTCACAACGAAAAAAAGGGAAGGAGTAAAAAGAAAAAAACACGAAATAACAAAAAAGAAATGAAAAAAAAATACATAAAGTACAAGATAAGAGATTATGAAGAGGGGAGGGGGGCTAAAAAATAGAGATGAAGTGAGTCTAAGGAGAAGAAAAATAAGAAACAAGGTCAATATGGTAATAGGTAAAATAGTTATTAGTGAAAGGATCTTACATGTTTAGGTATTTTTGTGAAAGATTTTAAAGTTTAAGTACCAAATTAAAGTTTAATGAAAGTTTAGGTATCATTCTTAAAATTTACTCAGATCTACCTCAATGTCTCTTCCTATTTAATGAAATATATGGTCCAAAGTACCTAACTTTCTTCTAAACAAACTCTAATTAATTACGAGTTTCTCCCACGGTGGCCGGTGGGAGTAAATAACTCTCCTAAATTCATATAGAAGCTTATCGATGTTCGATATGATTCTTACGGCAGACACAGACATTGATTTACTATGTGCTACTCCTTCCGTCCTAAAATTAATTTCTCAGTTTGACTTTTGCATTCAAACTTTTTAAAATTTAATTGTATATTACACAAAAAATATATTGAATTTTCATATAAATTTATTATCAATAGATCTATTTTGAAACATAATTTTGAAATATATTATTTTTATAATATATATTCATATAAAAATGGAGATATTAATGGTCAAAGTGTCATATTAGAGACCGTGAAAAGTCAAACGAAAAGTTAATTTTAGGATGAATGGAGTATTAAATTAAGGAAGTATATGGGAATTAATACTATATTATAATAGAGTCCATAACACTACAAGTCTAATAGCTTGTTTTTTACTCCATTCATATTCATCTTAATTTTTTTCATGTTCACTATTCACACGCGTCTCAAATCTTATTCTTTTTGTTTGTTTATATTCACTAGTCACTTCATAATACTCGTAAGATATAATCATGTCACCTTTTGTTTTGTAGATTTTTTATGTACTTTTCAATATAATAAATTTTATTTTAATATTTTACATTTATATGTAGAAAAAAATAAAAAAAATTGCTTGGGTAGCAGTAAAAAAACAAAAAAACAAAATAGAAGTAAGTCCTATGTTATTCAAGATCAAAATAAAAGTAAAATGACAGTCTACTGTACAAGTATGTGTTGACAATGATAGAAAAATGATGACACTATAAATGTCAGTGTGATCAGTCAACTGTTGGCGATTCGTAGTGGCACTCGAGTGGCCGGCGACGATGAATGGCAATGTGACGGTGGAAGTGTCACAGTTACAATATAACAATGTAGTGAGTGTGACAGTGTGAACTTCTATTTTGATTTTAAAAGAATTATGACTTTTATTTTGATATAAAAAATAATTTGCAATGTTTTGATTTTTTATCAAACTAATAAATTAGTAATAGCTAGATAAGGTGGCATATTAAAGAATAAATATTATTATTAATATTCATTCTTTATTACGCCATTCTATATACCTGCTAATTTATAGTGATATCAAACCTTTGCTTTGGTGAACTTCTCGAACCGCTCCCAATTTAAAGAGAAAAGTTGTTGTAAAAATTACGGTGTGGGCGAAAAGGACTTACCAATATTTGTCCATCTACAAATTAAAGCATCTCTCTAGAATTTACGAATTTTATTTTAATCTCTCTAAAATATTTGTTAATTGAAATATTCCTGTACATTTTGCAAATAGGCCTTCTTCCAATTAAATATTTGTTTTGATCTTTATAAAATTTGACTTTTTATTTTTTGTCCCTCTAAAATTATGATATATTCAATCCTACTTTTAAATTATTAAATACTCCCTACACGATTATCTTATTCTTTATTCAAAAGTTACTTATTTACAAGTCAAAATTAATTAAATATTTTTAGAAGTTTAATTGAATAACTATATTGTTACAAACTCATTTAAAAGTTTGCTAAATTAATATGTGCTGACAGTAATAGAAAAGTGATGACGGTGTAATTACTGTAATATGTCAATGTGATCAGTCAACTGTTGGCGATCCGCACTGGCGCTCGGGTGGCCGGCGACAACAGATGACAGTGTGACGGTGGTAGTGTCGCAATTACAATATAACAATGTGGCGAGTGTAATAGTGTGGAATCATATTTTCATTTTAAAATAAAGAATTGTGACTCTTATTTTGATGTTTTTATGCTCCCTCCGTCCTAAAACTTTTTTCCCAGTTTGACTTTTCTCCATTTTTAATTTTTGGCTTTGACTTCAAATTTTACCCTTCTTAAAAAAGATTTTTTGCAAATTTTTTTTGCAATCATTCAAAATATAGAGTTAGAAGATAATTGCTGTAAATACATGAGGATATTAATGTCATTTGTTATCTTTTTTTTCTAATGGAAAGGTAGTTTTAGGACGAAGAAAAAGGGGAAGTGGGAAGAAAGTTTTAGGACGGAGGGAGTAATTTTTTACTCGTATTCAAGGAGTTCTTCCAAAAATTAAGTACTCACATACTATAAATTTTAAAAAAAAAATCGATGTTACAAATTTTCCAAAATTTAAGTACTCAAATAATATAAATTAAAAAAATTCGATGTTATAAATTTTGTGAAGAATTTAATTACTCATAAACTATAAAATTTTATAAAAATATTTCGCATTGTGTTGCTGGAATATTATCAAACTAACAATGTTGCTGGAATGTGAAGAGGTATTTTAATGAATGAATATTAAATTTTAATGTTTATTCTTTAATAAACCTCTTCATATTCTAGCAAATCTGTAGTGATATCAAACCTTTGCTTTGGTGAACTTCTCGAACCGCTGCCCATTCATCAAGTGAAAAGTTGTAAAATTTTCGGTGTGGGAAA